CCCCAAAACCCCAAAACCCCAAAACCCCAAAACCCCTGGATCATTTTTCAGATTGAACAGTGATAAAATTTTGAAAATTATTAATCAATGCAAATAACTTCTTCGATCTCTTGCTTTTTCTGGTTATTTTTGGCCAGGTTAATGCCTTCATTCGTTGTTTCTTCAGAAGGAGAGTTTCTGTAAATAACTTCGTCTTCTTCAAAGAGTCTTCCATTATTAGATGTTCTCTGCTCGATGTAGAAGTCGATCAGCCCGTTCACGTTAAGAGGGATCTTTAAGCCTTCCATTATGATTTCAAAGGTATTTTTGATTACTACGCTGGAGATCTCCTTGCAATTACCTGTTTTCTCGAGGAACTATAAGAGTGAGAAAGAGGACTTACCTGTCTCAGGGACAGTAAGAAGGGATCTATCTTCGAAATATTGGCATTTTTGTTACAAATCGGGCATTTGAAGGTCCTAAATCTTGTATTGGTCTTTAAGAAATTCACTAGGTCAAATCACTAAAGGTTAATTTTTAGTACTTACCTCAACATGAGTGCACTTGTAACCTCTCGCTGGCAACAATACTGGCTTCAGAGTTATGGGACAAGTCATGGGGATCTCCAGTTGGTCTCAGATTACAGTGATCTCGTCACCTTTGTCTTTTGGATACAACCTCTCGTAAATCATGTTAAAAGTAGTAAGGAAGCTATTAAGCTCGTACTTTTTGTGGTAGTCGATCACCTGATCTATTTCTAGCTTCTGGCACAGAAACATCCCGATTACATATCAATTTGCGTCGTGGTTCTTGTCATGGTTTAACGGTGTTTTGTCCTTCCTTAAATGTAATTCATGGTCCTTTTTGTTTCGAGTTTTGAACAAAGATGTCAGATCTAATGGTTCATCTTTTCTCTTCCTAGATTGCTCCCTTTCTGGAAGACTTAGCAGATGGGTCCAGACCTTATCATCAATGTCTAGTTTTCCATAGTTTGGCCATGAATTTTTGAATGGAATTTCCGAGAGTCTGAGACCTCTGATCTCTACACGGTACTTGCCTTTTTCAGTCATTAGAAGTTCGCTAATCTTAGGATTATGTTCAAGCTTGATAGTTTTTCTGTCAACGACACCTAGCCTGACTGGATAACAGATAATATCTGCAGGTACACTAAGAAGGTCCATAATTATAAATTGTCAGTGAAATCAGATGTATGGCTTGACTTGAGCCATGGTGTCAATACAGTCAATATGCTGATATTTTCCGCATTTAATGCACAGAATCATGCCTCTGCCGCCAATTTTAGTATCTTTGCACCAGCAGTGGACCTTAATATCCTTGGATTCTTGCATGAGGACTTTGTGCTCTTTGAAAACGCTCTTTTGGACAGCGAGACTTCCAGTGTCTAAGTAAGGATCATAGATCTTGGATTCTTCTTGCAGTTCAAGCTTCTTGATCTTTTCTAACTTTTCTTTAGGAATATGGCCAACTCCTTTTGTAGTAAGAGGAGTTATATTAGCTGAATGATCGTGTTGGGTGACTCTTTCAAGCTGCTGTTTTTCTTCTTCTAGATTCTTTGGGACAAATTCCTTCTTGTAACTCATTTGCTCAATTTGTTTAGGAAGAGAAGCCTGTCTAGGTTCTAATGGTCTTGGAGGAGAACTTTCTGTTATTTTTTGACGTTTGTGAGGGTTTGTCGAGGGATTTTGGAAGGGAGCGTGAAGGGTTTGAGGGAGGATTGGATGGATTTGAGTAGGCAGAGGTGAGAAATTCATATTTTGGGGTATCTGAGGGATGTTTTGAGGGGTTTTAGGCACTTGGAGGGCTGGGTTTGGTGGTAGAGTATCAGTTGCTAAATATCCTATGCTAGCAAATTCTTCTTCTCTGAACCTTCTAATTTGATTCATCCCAGGGATGGGTTCCTCATAATTCTTATTAAATGTAACAAACCGCGGGAAATGTATTGGATCTCCCCCTTGCTCTGCAATTTTTAGTCTATCATCAGCTTCAGAGTAAAGTGATCTTAAAGTGTCCCTAAATTTAGCAAATTTGACTTACTTTGAGATCTTTTTGGTCTCTGCAATTTCTTTGCCTTGTCTGGTTGACAAACAATTTGACAGTCTTTCAAGGAGTTCTTCCTTTTTGCCAGAAGACTTGACTCCGAGTCTTTTTAAGGTCTTTGCCATTAATTTGTTGCTGTTGGCTTCTAATATGGACCTGAGAATGTCTGGGTGGTAGAGCAGTTCTACCCTCTGCTCTGATCTTGCATCATTCATTTTTATTTATTTACTAATTTCAAACTAATAATTAGAGTTAGGGGTTTTGGGGTTTTGGGGTTTTGGGGTTTTGGGGTTTTGGGG